ATATGGTACGTAAATCATGAAATTGCATCACGAAGTAGGTTCCAACCTAAGTTTATCAAAGGAAACGGAAAAGAGAAAGAGTAAAGAACGTATTGAGGTCATAAACTTATCAGTTTGAGCCGTTCAAGCATTCAAACCGCTCTTCTGAAACGTTATATGTTTTGCGTTTTCTTGCTCACAAGTTGGATGACACACATCTAAAATCATTTACATTCTTCGTTCCAACTATTATGTGTGTACTTTTGTTTAACTCTTTTTTTAGAATTACGGACATCCGCATCACTCAATCTCGTGGACCTTTATCTGACTCTAATTGAATTGTCTGATTATTGTTATTGAAATATACATGTCAACTATCCTTGTATATAGCTATCGACTTAATCCAAGTTAGCGAAAAAACGGAATTAATAAGCCAAATACGACACAGGACCAGTCACTACAAACTATCTCCCATAATCTCAGTTAACTTTGTATTACCAAATACATTCGCTCACATAAATGGCAGAGTTAAACAAACTAGGTATTGTGATGTACGCTACTTATATAGACAGACATAAGCAGTACGTAACACTAATCAGAAGTGGGAAGTTGGCAGCGGAATTCCGATTGGGGTTAAGTAATAAACATTAAGTGTGACTTAGATTTTAACCGGTTGGTCACGCCATTCACTTCCAAATGATGTAGGCCAGCAATCATCACACCTGCATTCATGATCTACAATGCAGACAAAAATGCTGTTCGCAGAAATTAAATACTCTTATCCAGTTCAAAAAACACGAGTAGACACATAAAGATTAAATATGCAAATGAGTATAAAGAAGCAAACGTACAGTCATACAGACACCTTATAGCCATGTGTATAGATTGCAGAATGTGGGAAACGGTCGGGATAAGTTGTGTCCAAAATCCAAGATAAATCGTGTGAGTGTGTATTATCATAAAGGCTTTTACAGAATCACGTATATTATAGGCGGTTGAATCAGAGCATTATGTCTAAACTGTACAGTTATTGGAGAAAATAGTTTCCGTAATGAGTTGAAACGTAATATTTTGTGAATATCTAGCTGCTTCCTTTCAGTCGATAATCTGTTATATGTATTTGAAATGGTCAGCATCAATAGCTTACTCACATGTTATTTATTTTGAGGATTTATATACAGATCCAGCAAAAAAAAAGAAATCGCGTATGGGTTAAGTGAAAAAAGCCAGGATAACATTAGTACCCATTTTCCCATGATAATTATTTATAAGACATAGAATTCTTCTGAGTATTGGATAGTGGTAGTAAAGTACGTGCAGTCGAGCATAGTACTTATGTAAATGAATGACTAAAATTTTATCTTTATAGCTTCCTAAACGATCAATGCAAAGCTTTGTAGTGTTCAACAAATGAGTGCAGGCTACTGCAAATCAAAAGTTCACCCTAAGTTACTGTCTGTCATGTATTTCTGTTGTTTCAGTTTCACTTCCAGTTTGGAAAGGACAGGAGGCTTGATGACCTGTGTTAGTCCTGGTAACACTGGTCTTTCAGCTGATCCAAATTTCTTTTGAAAGAGTCGACGGATGAAGCCTCAACCACGTGCTGAGGTAATGAATTCCACTCCTTGATGATTCGATGGGAAAGTCGATAGTCAATTGACAAGTAATTTCTTCTCGGCTTGTGAACCTTTTTGGAGTGTCTTCGTAAATTCCGTTTCAGAAGACAAGAAAAATGAAGGCATATCAGGTGCAAATTTGTCACTAAGCAATTTGAAAAATGTAATCAAGTCGCCTTTAGTTCTACGATGTGACAACGGGAAAAGGTTCAGCTTGGCCAGTCGAGCTTCATACGGAAGCTTCGCTATTCCGGGAATCAGTTTAGTTGCTGTTCTCTGAACCTTTTCCAGAAGCTCACTGTCTTTTTTTAAGCAGGGGCTATCCACTTGTATGCAGTACTCAAGTCTAAGACGTTCGAACACTGTGTACAAAGTCAAAAACGTTTTAGCGACGACATGACTAAAAGCCCTACGTATTGACCATAAGTTTCTAAAAGCCTTTGGAGGCTACTGCACTACAATGCGCAGTAATCTTGAGGTCTTGGTTAACGATGACTCCTAAGTCTGGACGACAGGTAGCTCAGTATTATTCATCGTGTAAGTATCTGTACCTTGACGAGCGATATGGATCACGACACACTTGGAAATATTTATCGGCAACTGCCAGGTTTGAGACCATTCAGATAATTTCTTCAGGGTATTTTGAAATTCTGAGCTATCACTCTTACATCGTATCGTTCTCCATATCTTGACATCGTCAGCATATAGCAAGACCGATGATGATAGGAGACGAGGAGTGTCATTTGCATACAAGAGGAATAGCACTGGCCCCAAAACTGTACCCTGGGGCACTCCACTAAGCACAGTTCCCCAGCTAGATAACTTTAAGTTCACCCGAACTCTGTTGACGCCCAACTAAGAAGTCCTTTATCCACATAAATAGATTGCCTCCAATTCCGGCATTCCTTAGCTTATATAACAGCTGGCTGTGCGGAACTTTGTCAAAAGCTTTGCTGAAATAAATTTAGGCTACGTCTACAGGTAACTTTTAGTTATTAATAGCGCACCAGCTTTCACGAGCGACTAATAAGTTAGTGAAACAAGAACGACCCATTCTGAAACGGTGCTGCTTCTCCGAAAGGATCCAGTTTTCATCGAGGCACCTAAACAGCTCCTTCCGAATAATCCTTTCTAAGATTTTAACAACCACACTAGTTAGACTAACGGGTCGGTAATTATCAGGTTTATGTTCCGTACCTGTTTTGGAGACAGGAATTACTATGGCGTTCTTCCAGTCTTTTGGTGAACGACCCTGCGTTACGGACAGATTAAAGCATATACTTAAAGGGTTCGCAACGAAGTTAGATAATTCCTCCAGTAGCCTAGGATACAGTTCATCGGGCCCCGTGGATTTACCTATGTCAAGCTTATTTAGCAGACCAAAGACATCGAGTTCTTTAATGGTCACGCTATCCAGTGTATGTGTGAGGAGATTTGTATGCGCTGACGGGAAGTGTGCTTCTATGTTGTATACATTGCTAATGTAGTTCGAGAACACTTGAGCCTTACCAAAGTCGTCCTCCACTAGTGACGCGGCAGTACTGTCTCCCCATAGGGCAGGAATATTTCCTCTTCTCTTTGTCATTTGGTTCATATTGAAATACAAGCGTTTAGGACATTCTATGGATTCCTTAGCAATCTTTTCTTCGTACAACTTTCTAGACTTACGGAGGGTCAGGGTACAGGTATTCCGACTGCGATAGAACGAACCAATCAGCAGCTCTTGTCTCTTGTATTTCAACTAGCAACTCACTAATTCACACGCCCTACTCTCATGGTATACACTGTCGATAATGGCAAATGAGATAGCATTCCTAATGAATAGAGCTACTCCCTCTCCTTTACGCTTTTGTATTCTCTCGGCCCTTACTGACGTATTACCCTCAAAAATAAGTTCCATGCTATCTAAAAACTGTGTCAGCCAGGTTTGTGTGACTGCGATTATGTATGGCTTTGAAGAGTCAATCTGTACACCTAGTCCCGATTGCTTATTGAGTAAGCTAAGGGGATTGGTGTAACAGATCCGAAGTCCATTTAAGTGGCTTCGTGCTTCACTCAGAGTGGCTACGGCAGCATTCTGCCGAAGCTTTACGACCCGAAAATTTACAATTTTTATGTTCTTTTAGCCACCGTCTAACCTAATTTGTAGTTCTTTTTCGGCTTCCCGTCTTTTTATGCGGTCTGCCAACGGCAATTCCTAACGGATAAAAACTCCTGAATCCTTTAATTTATGTCCATTCTGTAAAATTAAGTCGCGTTCATTAGAAGATTTGAATACTATCTTAAGCAGCCTGGAATTATTAAGCTTCAAGTTCGCTAGACTACCTAGTCTGTACACATTTAACAATGTGACTCCGGAGGTATTTTGAGACATGAGTTGATTAAGTAGCTGTTTTATCAGCACAGTGTCATGCTTAAAACGAGTTTTTGGTTTAGAGCATTCACACTCCTTGATTCTACGAAAAATAACTGATCTGTCACTGTGATCAGCCTTTGATTCTCGACTACTTTTATGGGGGCAGAATCCCTTTTTATGTCGTTATGATGTTTCTTCCTTACAACCTGTACCCATTCGTCTACGTTGCTTAGAGAAGCAACCACAGTCGCGTCAAACGTACTGTGGGATTCCAGAAGGTTGTCGACGATTTGGTAAGTCAGGCTATGTTTTCCGCTAGAAACCGATCGAGCCTTGCGATTGCGGCTTCTAGGTGTTTTCTGCTGGATACCACTTAGAAGACAGGGGACAGAAGAAACTTCTTTTCTTGAGTTTTTGGGTAAGACAAACCTCTTTGAAGACTGTTTTTCCTCCTTTGGTTGGTGTGAGTCAGCTGTTTTCGAATTCACATGAGTTCGCTTCATACAAGTTTGCGTGTCGACAGAGAGTACTGTTCGATGTGCCAAAACACTTTTTTGCAGCATTTACCAATGAGATGGCCTCGGTTAGCAAGCTGTTTGCATCCGAACAGTACTGCTGACAAAGCTATACGCAACCGTTTTTGCTAAACTGTTTGGAAGCCGCAAGCGTTGAATTCGTGCAAACATCGTGGTACCAGCCTTTGCACTCATCGCACAGCATGCGACAGTATCATACTATGATTTACCAATTTCTTTTCCTCTTTTATTGTTAACATACCTAGGTTCCTGCCTGGAGGATTTGGTGATCCCCTGCTACTAGACACGGAAGCCTGTTAAGCGAAAGCTTCTTCTATTCCGTCCACAACCATTTGAACCATTTGAACCATTTGATGTTTGAGACATAAAATAGAGCTAACTCGTACTTCGACCTTCTTTTGTATTTGAAAACACAAAATAAAGAATTTATCATGTTGCCAGACTTCATTTGTTGTTATTCATTCACATTTATTGGGACTTTGTTTGTTTCTATGTTCAAATGAGTTGAACGCTCAAGGATTTCTACGAGTTTAAATATTTTTTGCATTTACACTTGTTGGATCTTCCTCGTAGACTTCCCCACGTACCATGTCAGAAGGCTATATTTTGGCTGCTCTTGAATTCTTGATACAATATGGTGGAACTCAAAGTATTAAAGACTTGTGGGTACTAATGTGTAACAAATTCCACCAAGCTTCTGATTTTAAACATGGTGTTGGAAAAAGTCATCATAGTTTCGAGAAATTTTTGTTATCTAACCCAACAATCTTTAATGTTGCTGATAATGTCGTTTGTCTTACTGATATTAGCAACCCTTTAGAAAACGAAAGGGACTACTCACATCAGTATAATAGTCGTTGCAATAATACTTCTCTTAAAAATTCAAAAAATATCCGAAGTAAATACACCATAGAGTCAGAGGCTTCAGCCGTTCGATATTTCCAAGAACAGTTGTTGAGAAAACCAGAACGATGGGTCCCAATAAGAAACTTGGCTGGACATTTATCACAGGCATCTCCTCATATTAGACTATGTGTGGGACCGCAGTCCGAATTTCTTAATTTTTTGACGCGGCACTCACTCATCTTTGAAATTCAGGGTGATCTGGTTGGATTAAGGAACAGAACCAAAATAGTTTCCTGCACACCTCAACAATCTATTAATAAAAAGAAAGGAGTACGGCCACTGTCATCACATTTTCCCGATGATCTACACCGGATATCTGTTCCTTGTTCTCGTATAGACAATAATTTCTTCAGTCTTCACCGTACTGGCCACGAGGAACCGGCACCTAAATCGCAAAGTGAAGATAATATTATTGTGTGTTTAGACGACTGCAAAGCTATATCTTGGGTAATGTACGTCATAAAACATAACCTAAAAGATGAAATTATGATTTCAAGATTACTTGCAGAGCTTTCAAATGCCCCTGATTTGGTGAGGAATTGTATTGGTTGGACTCAGATTGAGCTTTCGGAGTTTCTCAAAAAATATAACAGGATATTCACTGTTGATGAGATTACCGGTGTCGTCGCAGTACACTACACAAAAAAACTTAATATTTTTGTTGCCTCAAGGCATATAAATGATTCTTCTAATGGCCTAATACTTTCTCAAAAGGGTTGCATCTTTTGTGTAAACAGGCTATGGGGGATAATTGATCTCGGATTTCATGAACATGTCTTCTTCGACAGATCGCTATTCAAGAATGTTACAGACCTGACTAAACATTTCAAGGTAAGTATTTGCGCATCCTCATATGTTAATTTTTCTTCATTCTATGCGAGTTAAATTATTAAATTAATCAAGCCAAAATCTTAAGGAACCGAAATACAACCTGATAGTGAATGAGATTTAAGGATGTAACAAAAGTTGAATGAGTATATCTTGATGATTATGATTTTGAGCATTGTCTGGCTATAGTTTTCAATATCTCACAAACCCCTTTGGAAAGCACACTTATCATATTGGATAGTATTTGATAAATAAGTAAACAAACAGCTTATGTTAAATCTAGGATGTTTTGCTAAGTTTTTATCATTTCTTAAATGTTTAATCTGAGGAAATTATTAGTTAAGAAATTTTTTAATGGCTCTATTTCACTGTTGTCATTTCTTCAGTGATATTTTAGGGAAGTATATTTATGTTTCTACTGATTGATTCGCCAGCATGTTTTCACTTGTATAGTTTTAAAAACAATGATTTTATACTGTTCCGATCAGTTTTATCACAAGCCCACATCGTATAGCTCAAGTTTCTGTTCCCATCATAAAATTATGAAAGCCAATGAGTAGACTAAGTTTATATCTACGAAGCGTTGTTTGTTTAGTGTACATATCAAGTAATCGAAAATGGTTTTGTACAGTATCATGTAGAAACAGACGTTTCTTAAACGTAATTCTACGCACTCAAAAATAAAGTCGTTGATGTTTATATATGCCCGTGAGTTATGCTAAACATACACTACCGTTAGAGTGAGTGAGAAAACGGTGGGAAATGGCACAAGTAGTACATGGGCTCAAAATTAAGTAGATCTTAGACACAGACTTTGAACAAGAATCATTACATTTCCCGATTATTGTAAAGATTAATTTAAAAACCCATATTTGGTTCTCAAATTCAATCCCAAAGCGCTAGTTCTGCTTCTGAGTTTAATCTTATACATGTGTAGAAATTTGATGACCATAGAAAGTTACTGCATCCGCAAAAATGTGAAGGATAAGTCATTCTGGTTATTTATGCTTGCTGACTGAAATCATGAAGATAAACACAACTCGATCACAGAATACTGGCTAGTGGATACTACTGTTTGATCTTACTGAGCATTGAGAGCTTCAGTATATGGTCTGAAATGTCGCCACAAAAAAAAGAGATAACATCTTATAAAATCTATCCGTTATTGCCTTTTTTCAAGTGGGAGAGACGGAGTCTGTGAGAAAGAGCGAACGAGAAGAGCAACAGGAATTGGGTTGATGTTGAACAGGATAAACTCGAGTACTTATGAAAGTATGAATTTCATTGATATTTGATGTTTCCATGTCCCTCAAGTACTTCATGTTGTAGAACTGAAAGGTGAATGTGAACACAGAACTCAGGAACAATTACTTTCGGCCTGAGGGTAGTTTATTCTTATTCCATAGTATTGGTTATGTACTTTTTAAATTGTATTTTCGGCATTGAAAATGTATGCTTCAAGGGGGTCCTCAGTTTTTATGATTTACGTTGCATAAACGTTTCACTAATCTATCAAATTCTATAATTCGAAATGCCAAGGGAATAACCTTAGTGACACCAAATTAATATGCATTCGGAAGTAAAAGTTTAGTATCAGATTCAAAAGTTAGAGATTTTGATCTCAATACTCTCCAGTCAACTTAACTGGAGCTGTTATTTTAAGAAATAAATACTTAAAATATATAGTTAGACCAAATCTCTATGATAATTAAATTTTAGAGCTGTCCACTTGTTTATATTAAATTTGTTTTCTTTCTAAGCTAGCAACAAGTCTCTGTAAATCTCTGTACCAAAGTTTCTTCTAACTTCCAATACTGTAATAATTTGGAAAAATCACAACTAAGTGTTCTGTAACACCTTACTAGTATAGTCCTAATGAACAACTATTTACTTGACATTTAGCATGTAATTCATTAGTAACAACGATAATTGTTAGTTACTTTTAAATTTCATAAATTAGTATAGATTGCAAAACATTTGTATGCTCTTAACAGCTTTTTTATATATAGTTGCTCGTTGAAATATCAAGCCATCAGTTTTGAGAATGTGTTAGTAAGGATAAAAAAGTTCGATTAAAGAAACAGTCCACACCATATTTTATTGGTTTGTGAAGTATCATCGAATAAAATGAGGTGGTCTTTCTAAACTTTCCCCTATTTTTTAGTGAGGAATGCTGTTCTTGAAACATTTATCTCTTGTTTTTTGTTAAACATCTTGTTTCAAGCGCGTGTTACGTAAAATCTCTTATCCATTTTTATTAGCATATGGGCTTTAAATTAAATTATTTTTAATCCGTCGACTTTTTCACATCACTGCTTGCGATTTGTAGTGTTTTTACGTTAGTCATTAGGAATAAAATGAATAATTTTATGTACTTCACACTGATGATTATAATCTGCTTGAATGTTGTAACTCCCATTTAATAACACTACTGATCTTGTACGCTTTACTGATATTTCTTGTACATGGTTATTGTGACAATTTTCCACTATTTCATGTTCAGTCTAGTTTAAAGACATTTGTTGAAATTGGTTAACCCAAATTTAATACATTTTTCTCTGCTCACTACGTAGATCTATTATGTGGATCGATCATAGCAGTTGGTCAAGAACTAACTTTTCGTCAATGCCTAGTACTTTATCATAGGTTTAGTTATTATCACGAGTTAGTTATTTATATTACGGATCCATAATTATCACGCCGTAACACATTTTTGATAAGTTATTTTTTGTTTCCTCGGAAAATAAATATCATTATACAGTACACTGATACTATTCAGGTATTCAACTATACGCCATTCGATGTTTGCTTATCCGAAGAAATTAGGGTTATAAGAGAGTGATTTATTACTTCCAGTTGTCACACTTCGAAACATTACAGGCGTATAATAGGATAAATCTTAGATGTATAACCGGTAGTCTTGTTTGTAACATGCATAAAAGATAATTTTTTAGATGGACCGGTTTCTTATCATGCATAAAAACGTTTATGAAGAGGTAAGAGTATCAGTTTTCAAAAAAGCAACCTGGGACTCAACTAGAAGTTTTATCATTAAAATCTAAGTTTTGTGATAGACGAAGACCTGTGGATCAACTGAAAACTGATGTTCATTTTGAGAACCTATTTACCTGGACAAAGGAATTGATGCTCTCGGCAGAGGTCGAATATGAAGGGTTCAAGACTACACTGGCTGGTCGGTGTAATCAGTTTAAAAACAACAAGCGTCACACAAAGAGTATGTTGACTGATGAACATCGAGAAGCTATCCGGTAAATAAAATCGAACAAGTACATTTTTGTCACTAAATCAGACAAAGAACCGGGCACTGTCATTCTATCAAGGCAGATTGGATAGATAAGCTGAATACCTGTTGAGTGAATGAAATAAATTTCGAAAGCTTGAGTCATATAAAGGCCTCAATGAAAAACCGAACTTCAAATAACTACGGCAATAGAACTTTTGAAACAGCATCACTGCATCTCTGAGTATACTTATAATGAAGTCAAGCCATCTGTAACACATACCCCTTGACTCTATGACTTACCAAAGGTTTATAAACCAGAGGTCCCTTTATGTTTAACTCCATACATGTCAAACGCACCATACTATTCAACAACAAACTGTTTAGTGAGATTGTTGGAACCACTACACCAAGATTTGGTTAAGTACAGCGTGAATGACATATTTGAATCCATGGATACAGTAAAATGTATGAATATAAGAGGCAAAACCATGCTACCATTAAACATAAAATGTTTGTTCACAAACACTCCTTTGACAGAAACCACCGGTTACACATGTTAACGACTGCTAGAAATGAAATTTGAGACACTGATGCCCATAAATAAAATGAAGGAGCTTCCCTTGAAATGCACTGTGAATGTACAATTTATGTCCAAAAATGAATTTTACAGACAGACAGATGGAATAGAAATGAGATAACCCCTATGCTCGATCCTCGCTAATATTTTTCTAGCCAAACTGGTAAATAGACCGTTGAAAGACATCCTTAATAAACCAAATTATTACTTTAGACACATAGATGACACACTAATCGTGTGTGACGAAAGTATCAACATACAAGGATTGTTGAGCAGTTTCGATAACGTCCACCCATCTATTAAGTTCACCAGGAAAGACGAGAACGATAATAGTATAGCTTTCCCTTATGTCCTACTTTCTAGAAGAATAGATGGTTCCATAAAAAGAAGTATCTCTTGAAAGAATACTTGGACGGGTCATTATACCCACTTCTATAGCATTCCACCTCTTCAGTACAAAATAAATTTCCTGGATACGCATTTCTGAAGAGTCCCATACTAGGATGAAACGGCCGTCTAGTGCCTCCAGGTTTCCAATGGTGGTCTGGTTTAGATCGACTCGTAAATTCAACATATAACATTGCCAAACTAATTAACACATGCCTTATTTTAGCCTTTGTTAAATACCACAATAGTTATGAACTTATAACTATAGAGCCTGATGATGAAGTTATTGGAAAAATTATTCGCTCAAATATTCTTTGTTTCTAAAGCGTATCGTACAAAATCCTATGGTAAGTTTTATTTTGTGTCTCACTGCTGTAGGACTGATTTTGTCTAGCAAAGGTCCCTAACCATCTTTTCTATCTCTTTAAAGTGTAACTTCTTCGGAGTTCAATATCTTTTCTTATTCTATCGATCTACACTTCTCGATGAATCGATTGGTACATCGTGTTGAACATTTATTAACTTAATACAAATCGATGCACTTGACTTTAATTCACACCTTCTTGTAAGTTACCTGAAGACATTATATGGCTATCTAAAATGAACTAGGTAATATGAAGGTTCAGACGTTACAACCAGTAACTGAGTGTTATTGTGGTGTGAGCTACTTATATCCACATAAGTAGAATATAACGATCGTCAGGAATAGGATGTATTAGAGTAGAAAACTGAGCAGGAAAGAACGGGAACGGAAGACAATTTATATGGAAATGCAAGAACAATGGAATCCGAGACGATGGACTGATAATTGCAAAAGAAGCAGTCAAGTTTGAGACAATTGATTGATATTTTGCAAATTAAGTAGTAACTGTATGGTTCTCAGGTTTTAGTGAGGTGTTCTGTAATTTTGTCCCCGCTCGTGTTCTTGTTTACTACATTATGACTTCATATGAAACAGTTGTTTACTCTTCATAGCTTACCATATAAAAAAGTACATAATAAATGAAACTTCATTAGAAGACAACGGAATTTTGAGTATGTAAAACGATTGGATCAGTGTTCCTGTTAATATTATATTTAGATTCTGTCTTAAAACGTTCAGCATCATCTTTCTCTATTCAGGAATATGCAATAGAAGTATAATAATTTCAATAATAAATAGATTATTGTTTGGTAAGATATCTTACTCTATAGGATTCCAAATTTAAAACTGAGATACCGCTTGATACTTAATGAAAAGTCAGACTATGATTCATTGATTCTAAACGTTCAGTCAAGAATTCTATAATATAGCACCTAATACTCACTGCTTTGCGACTTTTTTTATACGTATATTATAAAACCCAACAGAATGTTGATTCTCCCAGTGTTACATTTTTGAATTAGTAGTTTCCAGCTTCATAATAATAAATAACTCCGCATTGTAATTTAGAAATCAAATAATAACAACTGAACTCTCTTTTATTCGATGAGAACACACATGTTATTTAATATATTGTGTAAGCATTAAATAGTCGTCAAAATGCAACAACACCTTCATGAACTCCACAGTTGAGTTTGCACCATTGTGTTTCAAACATTTCCGAAACTTTTTCCATTTACTTTGGTTTAATATTATCAAAAAGGTGCTTGTCACTTAAAATTAAATATATATATTCCTGTTTGTTCACTGAGTCGTGTTAATGCTAAACAATAAACATGGATGAAAAAAACATTAGGTAATACAAAACTATTCTCTCTACAGTTAGATTGTCTGTTCAACTCAGACGAAAATTATTAAATATTTTGGTTTTAATCTGTCTTAACAAAAACGAATTACAGCTAGACGCATGAATCTTGTAAATAAATAAGACATTTTATTTGAAAAATAACTCCAGAAAACATGTCGATTGATAAGTATGGTCAGATCTGATAAAGATAGAGATATTACTTATAAGGGTCAGATATATGAGTTTAACCTGTTTTGATTAATGTATTTCAGAAGTTGTTGTGGGAGTAAATTTGTCACATAGATCCATTCGGGACCATTAGTTCTTTGTGCGGAGACTAGGAGGCTATGACATTTATGACCTAAAAGTTGTTGAAATATAAAGATTTGCTTTGAGAAGGATAAACCGTGGGAATAATTGTATCCCAATCTCATCACTCTATGATAAAACCTTATCGTTTATGTTGAGAAAAGAATAACCAAGACGAATGCACTCATATCTAACCCTACACACTGACTTATTTACTATGAATATTTCTCCGCATGCAGTATCTGTATCACTATTGTATTTTTGTTATAAGTGTATTCCTCTTCTTTAGTTTCCAACGTTTTGAACCATTGAGCCACTACGTCAAAATAAATATAAAAAACAGAGTTCATTAATGACTTGATCAAATAAATAATAACTGACAGTAATAATTATGTTTTAATTGTTGCCAACTATCATTGTTTCATTTTAAGATCAAACTCTCTATTATTTTTAACTTTATTTTTATTTCTAGATTAAAGAAGTAGTTTATTTCAATGCAATTTTAGCACCTAAAGATTCTCGTGCAAAATGGCGTGCTACATGTGTTTGGAAAGAAACTGATCAAATAATTAATCAGTTAGCTAAAGTCAATTATTCTGATAATAATACTACTACTAATAATAATAACGGTAATTTACAACATTCTGATACTCATTCTCGTCAACATCATCATCAACAACAACAACTTAATGATGATCCTGATTCCGGTTTAGATAATTCTGATGAAATAATAGATCCCAAAAAAAATAAATTGAACGATGATCCAATCAATAAAAGAGATCAGTCACTCAAGTCTTTATTTGATGAAGATAATATGTCAGTAGAGTATGAATTTATTATTAAACAGTTTGCTAATGTACGTATGGCTGATGTTTGGGAGATTGAACAGTTTACAAGTCAGTTAAAATGTACAAATTCAGATGTGCTCAATAGTAATACTAATAGTACTGTTGTGAATCATAGCAATAATAATAATCAGTATAATCATATCAAAGATCATCATCGTCTATCATCATTGTCACAATATAATCCAATTGATCATGAACGTAGTTTATCAATTAGTAATGAATCACTGTCTGATCTAAATACATTATCTGAAATACCTAGTATTATGTCTGGTATACAACTGGAACCACCATCGACAATAGCATCTTTAAATTACTCTGAACATGAAACTGATCATGGTGACAGTCCAAGACAATTATATAAACTACCTACTCATAAACCAGGTTGTCCATGTCAGTGTCTATTATCATCCACACTAATTCAAGACAAAAAATCCATGAATAGTGTAACTACACAAACATTGTTTACAGGTGAAGTTAAAGGAAAATTTTTTTATCATGAAACACAAGATGGTCATAATCATCATTCTTGAATTCTATTGTTATTAACGTCGTAGCGATGTGTTGCTTTAAAATCATTTTTAACCATAATTTCTCCCTATTGACTCCTTTTTTTCGAATCCATTTTAGATAATCATGTAGTAACACACAGTTCATTTCATATACTGAATTAGTCATTAGTTTGTTATGAATTTGTGTATTCTCTATTTACTTCGATAAGACGTTTCCCAAGTCTTATCTATCTTGAATTACATTTTTTTCCTTTTTTTTCCTCACTGACAATAAAAACACCATCGTATGACTATCTACATGCCTTAGTCTAAATATTGTCATTATAATAGAACAGGATAGGTAAAGTACTCAGTCATCATTATCATTCATAGTTACTTTTATCTACCTAAGTAAAATATTCCAAATACAAAAAAGGTAACAATCACCACTAATCAACTTTGTCAGTTTCGCATATATATATATATATATATATATATATATATATATATATATATATATATATATATATATATATATATATATATATATATATATATATATATATATATATAACGAAAAATCGACTGATCTTTCATTGAGATTGTTGTCAGTTTACATGATGATGTTCTTAGTCTGTAGTTATTTCTATTCCTGATTTTGCTCATGATTCTCTAGAAAAAAATGTTTTTTCTAGTAATAGTAGTCGTGGTAGTTGTTGTTGTTGTTATGACTTTTCTCACTCTTTTTACTTTTTTCTCTCTTTTTTTAAACATTGAAAAAATATAAGCATTTCAATCAAGAATAAATTGAATAATTTTTTTTCTGGTTAGCGTATTTTTAGCGAGTTACTTTTCTATGGGATGATGTCACTACCCCCCCCAATAGAAAAACCCAACCTTTCTCCTTTATCCGGGCTTTGGACCGGTAGTAGCCCCGATGGGGATCTAGGTGGAGTTATCTCAATTTCGAACATTTATTAATACATGTATATCTATTGTTTTAATTAATTAATTCTTTCATATGATTATATTTTGTTTATTTTACTTATTTTAAAATTGAATTTCTAATCTTTTAAATGGTTAAATAAAAGAATAAACTCTGGGATATTTAATACTTCTCATAATATGATAACTATAATATCATATTTACTCATTTTTCATATTGTTAAACCATCTTACAAACTTCCCTCCTTATATTATTTACATTGATAAATAACATTAAATATGAATGAAATGAATAGGTTACTTGATTAGTTCATAAAACATCAATTCTTCTAATATTAAATTCAATCATTTATCTACATAGAATATTGTAACATAAATGAATGAGCATGATTTTTCTTTATCAACAAAATGCATATTTCATTATTATTCATCGATTATAATGAAACGTTTTCTCTTTTCTTTTTTCTCTCCATGTTTTTCTTTTCTATCTTTAATGGCTGTGAATATATAGATATTTTACTAAAGAATATTTATATATATATAAGTTACCATAATTGCCCATTGTATTTGTTAATTAACTTGACATTTTGTTTAGATTACAATCTACAAAATGATTACAATGATGTTTTGTTACTTTCATAGATGAAGTTTCATCAAAAAATGAATAAATTACGTTGGAATATAATTTCCATTAGATATTGATAAATAATCAAAGTCATTGAAAAGGTAGTTATGTAAAATGAATTTATTAAAATATAATTTATTTTGTATAAAAATATGTTCTACTTTATTATAATTTATTTGTTTGTCTGTTTAGTAACTATAGAAACAATTATATTCCCCTTAAAATATTACTGATTGATCAGAAGCGGTTTTGTGAAGATTTTAGTAAGTTCAATAGTTGAAATCATGAGTCAATTGAAACTAGAACATCATGGGAAACCTAATGTGGGACTCCTCAACAGTGCGCGTCCATGATCACACCCCCAGCTAGATTTGAATCCACGGCATGTCAGTCTTGCACGCGAGCGCTTAACCATTAGACCATTGAGCTGGCCGGCATCGAACGGTGTTAATGTCTAACTGATAGGTCCTGGATTCGAATATCAAAAGGGGCGGGATCATGGATGCACACTACTGAGGAGTCCAATACCAGGACGAAATGGCCGTCCAGTGCTTCCAGGTTTTCCATGGTGTTCTAGCTTCAATTAACTCATGATTTCAAATGTTGAAATTTCTGATTTATATTAATAAATTTTGCTTATCTTCATTTTTAAAGTTCTAAGCATTTTTAAGACATCCTTAAATGTTATACTCTTTGGATACTTTATGATTACACATTCTGCTAAAATAGTGTGCATGGTTAATTATTGTAAAAATTGGTTGATCACCGATCTTTGGTTGAGAAGCATAAGGAAATTTACAAGTTCAGTGGTGTCGTTGACATAACAGGCCAATTTTTGTCTTAACTTTGGGTCATTCTTGCCATGTCTATGGTTCAGACTTGCACATATGATCCTGTGGAAAATATCTATTTCTCCTATCGTGAATTTTCTGAAAGTTTTTACTGACTTTCACATAAGCTCATGATAAGAATGTAAGCGATCAGACAGATGCCAACTTTGCCATCGTAATGTTAATTACTCCCTATGAGCCCTGAAAGTCCTGGGTTCAATTTGAGGAATCCCAAAATAGAATGACACACCTACCCTTTACTTCCCAATTCTCACTAGTTTTTTTAACTACGGTCACTATTTGATATAAACTACAAAAACCATAGTTTGCTTGTTCGTTGAATAGATATTGTATTTACTTTCTACAAATCACTAATTCAATCAATCAGCTGATTTGGGAATTTTTTCAAACAAATATTAGGCGATAATCACGAGTTCAGAATAAAATTGAAAAAATGATTAAAGAATTCAATAGGATTAGTTACCACCTATTTATCATATGATGATTTATCGGTTATTTGACACCATTAGACAAAAATTGTACCTATAGTATATCAAAAGAAATTATATTCATGAAAATTCATTTCCAGTTATTTACATTGACGGTTAAAAAAGACAATGTTGAATTAACCTATAATGTAAGTTAACTTGAAGTAGTTATTACCGAATAGTTCACTTAATAGTGAGTTTTGTTGACAAATGTATAGTGTAGCAAGATTTTACTAGTAACAATTATTCTAGATGACTTATTTACATAAGATCATCTCACTATCTGACAACCAGAACAAATCAAATTTTGGATTTTAAACCGTATAACTAAATATAATGAATTCAAAAGTCACAAAGCAGTGTCATAATATGCAGTTTGATGCATTTGTCATATTCAAAATACAATTGTCATGATAGTAAGGTAGTAAATAATTAGCAAAAGAGTAGTAATAAAATACTTAAAATTTGGATACTAAATGAGTGGATCTATCTGAACTGTTTTCAGTTACTTTAAGGAATATTTTGTCGACTTCTGAAATACTGGTTTCTTTCTCAAGAATCACATCTAGCAAATCAAGTTGTTGGAGGTAGTCAACAGAAAACCCTGTTCGACATAGATTTTGTGCGAGGCATACTTGCAATCTTAAGGGAGATGAAGCTCCCGGAGGGATTCTAATCGGCATCAGCCAGTTTTACAGTCTGTAATGTTGACAACGAACTATTTAGGTCTTGATTGATCTCCCGTAAAACTGAGGTACATGTCATTGGTTAATCACTAGATAGTTAACAATGTCACGTTTACCTAATCCTTTAGTGTTGATCAAATTTCAACCACCAACCGTTTCTTCAAGATTACGGGTACAGATTCTTGACAAATGCTGACCAGCAGAAAACCTGGTTTTAGAGTTTCGCTTCAACCACCCATCATGTAAGACGGTCATTGTAAATGTAGTTTGATGGCTAATAAATTAAGAGTGATAACTATAATATACAAACTAAAATGCCAATCATAAATTCCTAGTTACCTTTATTTTGTGGTTAGAATCACGTTTATTGAAAGACGTTTTACGCAAGTAAATCTTCCATTCACTAAACAAAACTGTTTTGCCTTTTAGTCACTCTCGTAACTACACTTGCATTCTTTCGCTGAGATTTTACAAAAACATTCTTCCTCTTTAGTGTTTACACTAAACTTTGATTAGAAATTTATAAAAGTTTAGGATTGCACATCAGTGGAATCATAGTAGATCTTATTTCACAAACGTTTATCCTAATAGCTAACTGTACTTAATTTGAAGTGAAATCAATAAACGAATTTCTTAAAAAAAAAACTAATTACTAGCCACCTCTCATAGCTTTCATAACAACCAATATACCTTACATTGCCTTAAAATTAACACAAATAGAAATCTGCATCATTGAGTTAAAGTTTCAGCTTTCCCGGAGTTCGTACTTTAGCCACCTGAACTTATGAAGAGAGATATTATCACTAATCTGTGTGGCGAAATACACTTTATGGATGCTCTTCAGTAACGTCTGAAAAAGATCCTGAGAAAATAAAGCCGAATTCTGGTGAATCAGTAGTGAATCAATAGTTTATTACAACAAACCCAAAAATTTTATGGTTAAGAGTTTAAGTTAAAATTCAGTATTAGGACTGAGAGTTAGTGTTCTGAAATAAAGTTCGGGTTAGGAATAGAGGGGAAGACTTCTTGTACCCATCGTTATCAACAGTTATACAGTCGATTCTTTAGTTCTAAATATCAAGAACATTTTATTCCCCTCCAAAAATCCACAGATAATAATAATTATTATTATATATATATATATATATATATATATATATATATATATATATATTCTGAAAAAAATAATTACAGAATTCATGCCAGTTTACAATCGTAATCAGCTTGATGTAGATAGTAATATTAAATGTAGAGAACAGATATGCCATATTGAATTGTTTTAAGTTTACTAGCTCAAAAATTATTTATGTAGTACATTTTTCACAAGTATTACAGCAACGAAAAGCACCAGACGGGAACTTTTAATTCTTTCTAAATGGAAATCCTGTTGATGTATGGAAGGTGTATTTAAGGTCATTTACTGAGCCATAACAAATCAATTATACAACAAAAGTAATATTTACTACGAAAAGTCTGTCAGGTTTATCATAATATGTATGTCAAGTTATTTTCTGATCTACTGTTCATGTTATTATTGTTATTTTAAGTTGCCAGGGTCAGTTTTAGTGTAAAGTAACAGCAGATCGGGAGGTTCACTTAGTGAATTCAGTAATAAGAATGGCGAAACGTTTGAAGTTCCTATAATTTCATCTGTGAAACAAAATACAGGTGTAATGACATTTTAAGTATTCCTGTTTCAAATATCACATATATTTTAATTGTTTATAATCGTTCTTTCCATGAAAAGGTAATCATTTTCTCATTGTCACTCAAGAACTTACTTAAACTCATTCTTATTCTTTTATTTTTACCATGTTTATCAATTTTAAGCATCTTAGTAACTAAATATTGATAGTTTTCATATGCATCTGATTGGTATATTAGTGAAGTATGCCTTTAA